ACCATCAGTGTAAGGACCATAGTTCTTTCTCTGAGAGACTCTAGAACCCTTCAGAAGGTTTTAAGCAAAGGAAGGACTGGATCAACCTTGCATTTTAATAGGCTCATGCTGGCTACTGATTAATAATAGATTACAGGAGAGCAACAGCAGGAGGCATACAAGCCCAGAGGTTGCTGCAGTAATGCAGAAAACAGTTGATGGGCCTTGGACAAGAATGGTAACATATGGTGGCAGGAAATGTTGGGATTCAGGATAATTGACATTTGTTCACACACCACTTAATTCCAGTTAAAGGGAGAAACGATATAGTATACTGCATAACAGTACAACCTCTACCACCAGATTGTTTGGGATACAAATCTTGACTTTGAAACCTCCTTGATGCTTGAAGTTATATGTTATTGGTCTTCCGTGTATCTCAACATATGCTTCTGTTTTAAAGGAGATAAAAGAATATGTCATGCTTCAAAATGACTCCAGCCTAGAGAAATTCATTTCTAACTCATGTGAAGTCTGATGAGGGTATTTCTGATAACGGAGGCCTCTCCCATTAGAAGTGGCTCAGAAGCCTAAGCTGCTCCAATTTACAGCTCTGCCATTTTTCAACACTTAGTTCTGAGGTCTCCCTGTGCATGCATTTCCAACTTGCAGACTGGAACAATAAACAGGAGGCTCACAAGTGAAAAGCTTTTAATGGATTGTGTGTGGAAGCAGCACAATCATTCTGATTCCATTTCCCTGACCAGTGAACTCAGTCCTCTGTCTCACAGTCACCCCAACTACAAGAGAGATTGGGACACTACGTCTCTCTCTGTGCCTGGTAAAAAGAGGAAATGGGTTTGGGAAGCAGCTGATCAGTATTTACCACTATCAGTCTTCATCAGAGGACTATTGGATGTATTAGCCAAGATAACATTTGTGAAGCATTTTACTGCAAGTCCTGCTGAAGCCAAGTGGTTGCTACTAATTTAGGAATGCACGAGGGAAGGGAAACCCACACCCACAATTCCTTCATCTACTGTCCAATTCAGAGTGACTTCTGCCTTTTTTGTTGGAAGAAAGTTAATCTCATACACCATAAAATTTACCTATTTTAAGTGTACAATTATTTTTAAATTTATAGAATTTTAAAACCACCACCATATCCAATGTTAGAAGCTGTTCCATCAAAAAGTTTCCTCATGCTCAATTGCAGTCAATTTCTATCTCCCTACAATCAGCCCTAGGCCAACTTTTTGCCTCCATAAATTTGTCTTTTTGAACTTCTTATGTTAATATAATCTTAAGAGAAAATGTGAGCTTTTATGACTGTCTTCTTTGAGCACAGTTTTTTAGAGCGTTACCCATGTTGTGGTATTTATCAGTAGTTCCTTCCTTCTGATTGTTGAATAGTATCCCATTATATGAAACTGCCACAATTTTTTATTCATGTGTCCATTGATGAACATTTGGACTGTTTCCAGTACTTTGCAATTATGAGTCATTTTTCACAGGGCTACCACAGTAAGATGCTATTCTCTAGAAGGCTTTGGACCTTTTCAGGTTTGACTCTCAAGTGACTTAGACTTGTGCCTTACTGCTCTTTTCTGAACTTCCTGCCTTTAGAGAACAACCTCACAATTGCAGGTAGTAAGAGCCTAACATGGTATTTGACACAGCTGGTGCTCCACAAATGTGAATTCCCACTACATTTCCCTCGCTCCATTGCCTCACATCCTTCCCTGTAATAAACTTGGAACCTCTAATCAGCACCCCACAAACTTAGCTAAAATTTCCCATATTCACATGGATTCTTTTACCAACGTTGTAAGTACAATAAGGGTGCTTTCAAAATGTAGTTTGGAAGAAGCCATTTCCTCTCTGTATCTTTTCCTACTGGTCTATAAAATAGAGCTTCCACCTTCTCAGAAGTGTTGGTTAAAAGCATTTATCTTTTCTTTAAGATCTCATTTGTTCCTCTCCACAGGAAGAGCAGTGATTTACCTGTTTGACATGTCAAAGAGTCTGATATTCATTGATCCATATTTTTCCAGTGGTCAGGGTTAGCACAGTAAGGCACTGCACACAGGTGGCCTCCTCCCTTATGTACCTTTAATCTTGGGCTTCTGTCTCACATGGTGAGCCATTGCTGGTTGGTAAGGGATTGCTTTGGAGGCCTTGTTGCTCAAGTGTGTCCAGATATAACTGTAGAAAAAAAGGAAGTCCAAAGAGACCACATTTAAGCTACACTTATCAAGCTAGGTTTCCTTTCAATAACGTTGACATTACAATTTTCTGACTCCTGTGCCTAGTTCTCAATCAGCTTCCATTCTGAGGAGCAAAAGATGGGATTAATTTCCTCAAGCCCAAGACCTGGAGGCTGCTTGTCTCTTTTAGAAAGAATTGGGAATACATCTAGGCAGACCAACTTTTGGAGTCTATTTTTCCTTCCACGTGTGGAAGACTGTCGTTAGGACTAACCACCCAGTGATGTAATATTATTGTCCTATCATTTAACACAAGTTTATCCAATCCCTCTTGGATTTCCCAAAAGAATTTGTTAGCTTTCTTTCTGTGAAGTAACAAATTACAGTTTCAGCCTGCCTCATATACCACATCAATCGTTTGTTCAGTCCATGGGATTGCTAAATGGTTGACCCAATTGGGCAGTTTTAGCTGTTCAGTCATTTAGTGTGGGGTGTTAAAATAACTGAAGTGGTCTGACTACTTAGCCTTAAAATGCCTGACTTAAACCATGATGAGGATGAAAACATTCAATTTAACTGAAAAACAAACAAAGTTATGGAATCTTTTAGATGTGCCCACATGTGTGATCAAACACAAACTATCTTTCAGGTTCTCATTTTCTTCTCTCTCTCTCATCTCTTTCTTTCTTTCTGTCTTTCCTCATCTGTTTCTAGTCTCTCTCTCATTCTCTCCCCCCCCCACTCCTTCTCTCTCCCTCTCTCATTCCCTCTCTCTTCTATCTTTCTCTACCTCACTCTTTGTTTTTCCTTTGTGTATTTACCTCCCTTCTTGTTTCTGGCTCCCTCTTAGAGTTAGCAAATATTCATAACAATGAGATATAAATTTTTACTAGCAGTGCTTCTTTCTCATTTCACCCAACATCATAATCTAAGAAAGACTAAAATGAAATGGTTACCCTTGTTTCCTTGAGGGTTTAGATGAGTCAGTGAATGAGTTCCTATTGAATAAGAAGAAAGAATTTGATCTTGGCTGAAGGAGTTGAGATGAAAGAAGCTTCACAGAGAATACAGCAGGTCCCATTATATTACTAACACAGGGAAGGCCTCCATGTGGACCTTAACACCAGCTAAATCTTTAGAATAACAACCTGGACGTTGCCCTGTTTATTTACAACCCAATGTTATTCTCCTGGCAGCCATCCTTATCCTTCACCTCTCTTCACCTCTGAGTGATTTTGGCATGGAGTTTGGAGTGAGTACATCAGAGACTAGTAAATCACTAATTCCATGAAAATCCAAGCCCCAATAATGATCACTGAAATAAGATAAAAGCTGAACAATTAGGAAGTAGCAGGAGACATATTAAACTTTTAACAGAGGTAGGTCATCGCCTTATGGGATATAAGTTAGTCTCTGATATCATGAGGTCATCCTGTAAGATTGGAAAATTAAAGTTGCAAGTGCCCTTCTATCCTCCCCTAAATCTGCTCATATAAAATGACACATCAGCACAGAAGACACCCCTGGGCGGTCCTAAGAGGGGTTGATGCCTTGTTAATGACACAGCAACAAGTGTTAGGTGAATCCCATAAGTAGCTCTCCAAAGTTGAGATTATTGGCCATCATTCAAGTAGACAAAATCTTCATTCTGAAGACAACTCTCAAGGACTCAGTTTTTGAGATTTATGCTCATCAAAGCATGTTACTCTTAGTTCTGCTGAAAATAACCAGATTCACGACATAACAGTGCCCTATCCAAAAGAGAATGAGGAGACGTAAGGTTCCTTTTAATGTGCATAAAGGGAAAAACACAAAAAGTCTTAATTAAAACACTGTGATATTTGGAAAACACTTTCTATTACACAATAGATTGCTCAGTACATCAACTGTTTTTTGTGAAACATGGAACAATTTAATCATAAGACCATTAATGCATTGCAAATTGATTTTGTTTCAGTTCCTTTTGATTTCTAAACTATTGTCCCACTGTCACGACTCACTGCAAGACACCATGTGGTTTGAATATTTTATTCCGGATTTTACTTTGACCTGAAAAACTAAATAAAGCATGAAAGATGGGAAAATTTTGTAGTAACTTATTAGATTTGCACATTTCATTTTAATGCCTATTGATATCAGCCTATCAAGTATAGAAATCTATGTACAATATTGAGAGAATATCAAAGTATAAAAAAATCAAACAGTATACTATAAGTGCTCAGGAATAAAACTTGACTCCAAAATTTATTCACAATCTACAAAAGTTTGATACCTATGAATATTAAAAAAATTTGGTCCACATTTTCATTCTTTATAACTTTATTAAAAAACAGTTTTACTTATTATAATGAGGTCATATAATTATCATCACAGTTTAGCCCTGACCTAAAAATGCTCTTTTTGTTTAACACTTAAATGTGAAAATTTATATGTAAAGAACTACCCTGGGACCAGCACTTCTTATTCTTTGTCATAGATTGGCCAATTTAAGTAATTTTCTTCCTGAAAAATGTATCATAGGAGGAAGGCATGTGTATAAGATTGTTCTTATAGTTATTAGGCCTATCTAGTAGAGCACTCCAGATATAAGCTGATTGCTTATTCTACATGTGTATTTCTTCATTGTTGGTTTTTAATATGGAAAATTACAGAGAATAACATAATAAATAGTCATATATCCCACATATACATTTAATAAATGTTAACAGTGGAAAATGTTTACTTGAGCTCTTTGGATGCACATCTTTTGGTTTATTGTTTGTTTCTTATTGGAAAATAGCACATTAGTGATAAAGTTTAAGAGTATAGATTGTAACTGCAGGGAGTAGAGGGAGGAGGCCATGATGGCAGCGCCGGAGGCAGAGGTTCTGTCCCCAGCCTTAGTCCCCGATTTGGAGTGGTATGAGAAGTCCAGAGAAACTCACGCCTCTCAGATAGAACTACTTGAGACAACCTCTACCCAGGAACCCCCCAACCCTTTGGAGCCCTTTTGCCCAAGAGACTGCATGATATCAGTGGTGTTTCCTGGGCCTGTTAGCCAGGAAGGCTGCTCTCGGTTTACTTGTGAACTTCTAAAGCATATTATGTACCAACGCCAGCAACTACCTCTACCCTATGAACAGCTTAAGCACTTTTACCGAAAACCTTCTCCCCAGGCAGAGGAGATGCTGAAGAAGAAACCTCAGGCCACCACTGAGGTGAGCAGCAGGAAATGCCAACAAGCCCTGGCAGAACTGGAGAGTGTCCTCAGCCATCTAGAGGACTTCTTTGCACGGACACTAGTACCACGGGTGCTGATTCTCCTTGGGGGCAATGCCCTAAGCCCCAAAGAATTCTACAAACTCGACTTGTCTTGGCTGGCCCCCTACAGCGTGGACCAGAGCCTGAGCACAGCAGCTTGTTTGCGCCATCTCTTCAGAGCCATATTCATGGCTGATGCCTTTAGTGAGCTTCAGGCTCCTCCACTCATGGGCACCATCGTCATGGCACAGGGACACCGTGACTGTGGAGAAGATTGGTTTCGACCCAAGCTCAACTATCGAGTGCCCAGCCGGGGCCACAAACTGACTGTGACCCTATCATGTGGCAGACCTTCCATCCGAACCACGGCTTGGGAAGACTACATTTGGTTCCAGGCACCAGTGACACTTAAAGGCTTCCGTGAGTGAATGAGTGCTTCTTAATCCTGAAAACACCATGGCTGAATTATCTTTCTCCATGTGGCACTGAATCACCCATCTAGCTTGGAGCTAGAGTTGCTTCCTGGTGAGAGAGGAAGCAACTCTCCTTCTGGTTGTCTGCCTCCTTCCTCAGACTTCCTGGTGGGCTGATGGCCTGTAGCTGTGACTGTAATCATTGCTGAACAACATCTCTTTGAATCAAAGGTTGATCTTCCCAGAGGGGCTGGGTCAGTGTTTCTGTTAGGGGTTGGAAAGCAAAGATGGGTCCACAGACAGACACTCTATGGAGGTGGCCCTTTCTGCTCTTCGCTGTGTCCTTTCTGAATTTTTACCAGGAATATAATGTGGATATGACTCATGAACTTAAATATAAATAGATCCTTATTATATTTTCCTGAAACTGAAAAAAAAAAAAAGAGTATAGCCCAATTTACTCTATCAAAGCTGGCTTTGTCCTTTCACCCTTTTGCCATGGGATGACCCTCACCAGATGCTGGCACTATGCTCTTGGACTTCCCAGCCCCCAGAACCATGAGCCAAATATATCTCTTTTCTTTATAAATTACCCCATCTGTGGTATTCTGTTATAGCAGCAGAAATGAACTAAGATACTATGCTTACTTTGACACATTTCACTATTTTCATATCCATAGAAAAATCTCTGTCTTATTTTTGGTGTAAATCCTTCCTATACATATTTGTATTCCTTTTCTCCATAGAGAGAGAGATAACCAGGTCCAAAGTATAAGGCTATTTTATCACAGTGTATAGATGCTTCTTACTTTTTAATCATTAGACCTTTTATATAATGTCAATAGTGCCTTTATTTTAATTATAATCAATTTTAGTATAAAATATACTATAATGTATTTGTCCATTCTTCTATTGACATGTATTAAGATTATTTCCAGCCCGCACTATTAAAACCAATATATCTTAAAATGTCTCCCTGTGTACATGTGCCAACAGTTTCTCTAGAATATATATCAAGAAAAGTAATTGCTAAATGATCAGATTAGTACATTTTTAATAATATTGTTGTCAAATTGCTTTCCAAAATTTACACTCCTCTCAGCACGGGATGAGAGTTCCTATGTTTTGAAGTATTCACTTTATAATTTTTCATTTTAAACATTTAAAATTTTCAGATTTTAAAATTGTTGCTAATCCATTGGGTATAAAATTATATTTCATTACTATTTTTACATGCATTTTATTCATTACTCAGCTTTCCAAAACTGACTAGCTATTTGATTTCTCTCTTTTCTGAACTGCATCTTTATATCTTTTGCCAATTATTATGGGGCCAGAAGTTTATGTGACAAACACACTGAGACCATAAACCAAAATGGCAGCAATAAATTGCTGTAATTTTAATATGCTCAGATGTTTCTGTTAAATTTAATATGCATGTTCTTAGGCTGAATGTAAGCAAATGACTATCTTAAGTCTGTTTAGTATCACCTATGCTTAACACTCCCAGAGGAGATATAAAGATTGTTGTTCTATCCACAGAAATGGCACTCCAATTCTCGTTTGTCCTTCAAGGTCAACAGTTGACTTTTCGGACCATTTCAGAAAAATAGAGTTGTAAGCTCTTGAGATGGGGTTGAAAAAAGGCTACATGAGACATGGACTGTCTTTTCTTTCTTTCTTTCTTCTTTCTTTCTTTTTTTTTTTTTTTTGACAGAGTTTTGCTCTTGTTGCCCAGGCTGGAGTAGTGGCACAATCTCAGCCACTGCAACCTCCACCTCTCAGGTTCAAGTGAGTCTCTTGCCTTAGGCTCCTGAGTAGCTGGGATTACAGGCACCCGCCACCATGCCTGACTAATTTTTTGTATTTTTTTCAGTAGTGATGGGTTTCATCATGTTGGCCAGGCTGGTCTTGAACTCTCGACTTCAGGTGATCCACCCGCGTTGGCCTCCCAAAGTGCTGGGATTACAGGCATGAACCACTGCTCCCAACCTGTCTTTTTCATAATGAAAGTTTCTGTACACATGTTCTTAAAGCAAGATAAATAAACAACTTATTTGTTCAGTGTAATATGTGAGCTTGATCATTTATCATTAATCCAACAAAATAAGCAAGTACCAATCCACAATACCCATTTTCAGTTACATTGTCTTTTCTTTACTGATTGATAGGATTTCTATATAGATATTCTAGACATTAATCCATTGTTCTCTATGTCATAAACATCTTTTCTCATTCTCGTTTATTATATATTTTCTGTATAGATAAGTATTCCTTATAGCTTTGTATCAATTTATGTTATATTCTGTTTTTATGTTACTTGTGTAAGATATCCTCTCTACCGCAATGCGATGGGGACATTATTTATATTCTTCAAAAAGTCATAAGGTCTTTAATCAAATAGAACTAGATGTGTGTTTCTATTATTTTCACATTTAGGTCTGCAGTTATTTCAACACATTTATTATTCTTCAATGTGTTGTAATCACACTTTTCTCGTAAACTGAAATCCTATAAAGATAAAGTCTGTGTGTTTTCTGGTTTTTGATTTTGAGGTTTTGCTTGTTTGTTAGTATTTGCTTCCTCATTTGTCTTTCTAGTATACTTGCCCTTTCCTTAGCTAATACCATAGTAGTTTACATTGTATATTAGTAAGTCTTCATAATTACTATGGCAAGTGTGCCTTCTTCCTCCTTTGTCCTCTTCAAAATTAACCCATATCTTTTTGGACTTAAATTCCATTATATTAATTTCTAAGCCATTTTCTCAAATTCTATGAAAAATATGACATTTTCATTGGAATTACATTAAACTTATAGATACATTTGGGTGAGTTGAAATCCTCATGATATTGAATCTTCCCACCTCTGAGCTAGCACACATCTCCATTTAATCAAGTTTCCTTCTATATGCTTCAAAACTATCTTATACATTTACTCATGTAGAACTTGAATATGTTTCCAATTTATTCCTAGGTGTCTTATATGTTTTGTTATATTGCAATGCTTTTGAAAAAACACATGAGAAGCAAGGAACGATCTAAAATCAACACCCTATCATCACAATTGAAAGAGCTAGAGGAGCAAGATCAAAAAAATTCAAAACCTAGCAGAAGACAAGAAATAACTAAGATCAAAGCAGAACTAAAGGAGATAGAGACACACAAAAAACCTTCAAAAAATGAATAAACCCAGGAGCTGGTTTTTTGAAAAGATCAACAAAATAAACAGTCCACTATCCAGACTAATAAAAAAGAAAAGAAAGAAGAATCAAATAGATGCAATAAAAAATGATAAAGGGGATATCACCACAGATTCCACAGAAATACAAACTACCACCAGAGATTACTACAAACAACTCTATGCACATAAACCAGTAAATCTGGAAGAAATTGATAAAATCCTGGACACTTGCACCCTCCCAAGACTAAACCAGGAAGAAGTTGAAACCCTGAATATACCAATACAAGGTCTGAAGTTGAGGCAGCAATTAATAGCCTACCAACCAAAAAAAGTCCAGGTCCAGATGGGTTTACAGCCAAATTCTACCAGACGTACAAAGATGAGCTGGTATCATTCCTTCTGAAACTATTCCAAACAATACAAAAAGGAGGAAATCCTCCATAACTCATTTTATGAGACCAACATCATCCTGATATCAAAACCTGGCAGAGACACAACAAGAAAAGAAAACGTCAGGCCAACATCCATGATGAACATCAATGTGAAATCAATAAAATACTGGCAAACTGAATGCAACAGCACATCAAAAAGCTCATCCATCACGATCAAGTAGGCTTCAGACCGGGGATGCAAGGCTGGTTCAACATATGCAAATTTTTAAACACAATCCATCACATAAACAGAACCAAAACCAAAAACCACATGATCATCCAATAGATGCAGCAAAGGCCTTTGGCAAAATTCAATAGTCCTTTCTGCTAAAAACTCTCAACAAACTAGTTATCAGTGGAATGTATCTCAAAATAATAAAAGCTATTTATGACAAACCCACAGCCAATATCATACTAAACAGGCAAAAACTAGAAGCATTCCCTTTGAAAACCAGAACTAGACAAGGATGCCCTCACGATTCCTATTCAATATAGATGTGGAAGTTCTAGTCAGAACAATCAGGCAAGAAAAAGAAATAAAGCATATTCCATTAGGAAAACAGGAAGTCAAATTGTCTCTATTTGCAGACAATATGACTGTATATTTAGAAGACCCCATTGTCTCAGCCCAAAATCTCCTTAAACTGATAAGCAACTTCAGCAAAATCTCAGGATACAAAATCAATGTGCAGAAATCACAAGCATTCCTATACACCAATAACAGACTAACAGAGAGCCAAATCATAAGCGAACTGCCATTCACAATTGCTACAAAGAGAATAAAATACCTAGGAATACAACTAACAAAGGATGTGAAGGACCTCTTCAAGGAGAACCACAAACCATTGCTCAAGGAAATAAGAGAACACAAACAGATGGAAAAACATTTCATGCTTATGGTTGGGAATAATCAATATCGTGAAAATTGCCACACTGCCCAAAGTAATTTATAGATTCAATGCTATCCCCATCAAGCTACCATATACCTTTTTCACAGAACTGCAAAAAAAAAAACCCTTTAAACTTCATATGGAACCAAAAAAGAGCCCACATAGCCAAGACAATCCTAAGCAAAAGAACAAAGCTGGAGGCATCACACTACCTGACTTCAAACTATATTATAAGGCTACAGTAATCAAAACAGCATGGTACTGGTACCAAAACAGATATAGATCAATGGAACAGAACGGAGGCCTCAGAAATAACATCACACATCTACAATTATCTGATCTTTGACAAACCTGACAAAAACAAGCAATGGGGAAAGGATTCCCTGTTTAATAAATGGTGTTGGGAAAGCTGGCTGGCCATGTTCAGAAAGCTGAAACTGGACCCCTTTCTTACAACTTACACTAAAAATTAACTCCAGGTGGATTAAAGATTTAAATGTAAGACCTAACACTATAAAAACTATAGAGAAATACCTATGCAAAACCATTCAGGACATAGGCATAGGTAAGGACTTCATGATTAAAACACCAAAAGCAATGGCAACAAAAGCCAAAATAGACAAATGAGTTCTAATTAAACTTAAGATTTCCTGCACAGCAAAAGAAACAATCATCAGAGTGAACCGGCAACCAACAGAATAAAAAAAAAAAATCTTTGCAATCTACCCATCTGACAAAGGGCTAATATCTGGAATCTACGAAGAACTAAAACACATTTTCAAGAAGAAAAGCAAACAAACCCATTCAAAAGTGGACAAAAGATATGAACAGATACTTTTCAAAAGAAGACATTTATGAGACCAACAAGCATATGAAAAAATGCTCATCATCATTGGTCATTAGAGAAATGCAAATCA